TCTCTCTCTCTCTCTCTCTCTCTCTCTCTCTCTCTCTCTCTCTCTCTCTCTTTCTCTCTCTGTTTGTCTCTCTCTCTCTCCAAAAAGTCATTTTGCTGCTCAACGACAACGCGCCAGCACACACTTCAAGAAAAACTGCGGAAACTGAGCGAGGAAGTGGCTATGAAAGTTTGCCACATCCACCTTATTCTCCAGATTTTAGCCCTGCCCGACATTTTTAAAATTCCCCAAACTGAAAAAGGGTTTAAAAGGAAGGCATTTTGAAACCGATGATGAGGTCAAAGAAGCGGTAGAGGCCTGATTCTCTGACAAAGAGAGGGTCTTCTATTCTCAAGGTCTTTTCAAAGCCATACACCGATGGCAAAAATGTATAACTGTGGAAGGCGACAACACAGAGAAAGATTAAGGTGAGCGCCAAATGTCAGCTTTCTACCTTTATTCCTTCATCCCGTCTAATCCTTGCATGAGATATTCTGAGTTAGGATTTGCTGCGGCATTTACTTTGCATGGTTATATTGTCATTAAGCGGAATCTACACTATGAGCTTATGTTGTCATTAAGCGGAATCTACACTATGAGCTTATGTTGTCATTAAGCGGAATCTACACTATGAGCTTATGTTGTCATTATGCGGAATCTACACTATGAGCTTATGTTGTCATTATGCGGAATCTACACTATGACCTTATGTTGTCATTATGCGGAATCTACACTATGACCTTATGTTGTCATTATGCGGAATCTACACTATGAGCTTATGTTGTCATTATGCGGAATGTATACTGTGAGTTTACAATGTCATTATTCGGAATGTACACTGTATATTATCATGTAAACTTGGCGGGGTGATCCATGTTTTACTCCGAGTTCTTGTTCCGAGAAAAGAATAAACGACAAAAGAAAACGGTTTGTCTGCTTTTGCCTTTAAATATCACAAAGTTCGCTTGTCGTCCAGTATCTCAAAGTACATAAAACGCAGATAGAACCATTCGAACATCACACGAGAACCTATGAAAACTGCCTCAATCCCCCAGGTTGCCAGTATGTAGGTTAACCAGTTCTGGGAGAGACGAGCGAGGACACACGTGCCGTGCACTCACGGTGAACAGATTAGTTCAGAAACGTTGCACACTGACCCGTACGCAATCTTTTTATCGACCAACACTGCGCATGTTTTAAAATATATGTAACTTTTATACTGCTTTATTCTTTCTTTTCTTTTTCTTCATAAGTGTGTCCTGAAGCAACACACGAATCCATCTATGCTTCCTGGAATGTTCAATATTTGTTGCTGTCTCCTGGAATGTCCCATGTGTGTTGCTATATCCTGGAATGTTCAATATTTGTTGCTGTCTCCTGGAATGTCCCATGTGTGTTGCTATATCCTGGAATGTCCCATGTTTGTTGTCATCTCCTGGAATGTCCCATGTTTGTTGCTGTCTCCTGGAATGTCCCATGTGTGTTGTTATGTCCTGAAAAGTCCCATGTGTGTTGTTATGTCCTGGAATGTCCCATGTTTGTTGTTATGTCCTGGAATGTCCCATGTGTGTTGTTATGCCCTGAAATGTCCCATGTTTGTTGTTGTTTTCTGTTTTCCTCCAGTAGCTCACAAAGACAAAGACCCTCACCACCCTCACCTCCCCCTCACCCTCCCCCTCCCACGTAACCCCCGCCATGAAGACTAGGTCCCTGCTGCCAGTGGTCCTCTGTGTCGGCGTCTGCGCCTATCTGGTCAGCCAGGTGACCGGGGTTCCAGTCCTCGGGTTCTGCCCTCGCCCGGTCACCAAGCCCTTCTTTGTGCCCCTCAAGGTGAGTGCTTCCTGAAACGTTTTACTCGTTCATCCTCTGTTGTCGTTCTGTGAGTCCCTCATGGTGAGTGCTTCCTGAAACGTTTTACTCGTTCATCCTCTGTTGTCGTTCTGTGTGCCCCTCAAGGTGAGTGCTTTCTGAAAACGTTTACGTTCACACCCTCTGTTGTCGTTGTTACTTACTTGACGTTTCACTTGTTCATTCTTTGTTGCCGTTGAGCGTTGGGGGGAGATGGCGTTTTCTATGGTAGGCCAACTCTATACTGTTTTTCCGCTGAGAAGTTGGAGGTTTTCTACGGCTCCCTTGACACCCTCAAACCACCCTTTGTGTGACCTACTTCTTCCTTTATAGACTGAGTACTTGGTGCTATCTCTAACTTTTACATTACCAGTATCATTCTCAACACTTATTGTCCATTATATTATAATATTTTGTTACCACTTGTTCTTCATATCATACATGTGTGACTATGGGTGTGTTTGTGAATGTGAGTGTGAGCATTTTGAGTGCCTATCTGTGTGTGTAGAAGAGGAGATGTGTGGGAGAGTATGCATGTATTTGTGTATGTGTGTGTGTGTGTGTGTGTGTGTGTGTGGGTGTGTGTATGTGTATATATGTATGTATTGTGTGTATGTGTATGTGTGTACGAATGTATGTGT